GCCAAGGTGCCTCAATGTGCCTGAGACGCATGCTTCCATGGGACAGGCAGGTGGGCCCTTCTGGGTTTGTAGTGACAGACCCAGTCTTACATTCTAAATTTATCAGGAAACCGAAGTGTGACATGGGTCAGATCTAAATTTTGTGGTGATTGCTTTTGCTTGCAATGTCTAAAATGTGCTAGAGGAAGAGGAAGTACATGTTGGGGGACCAGTAGGAACACACCTGTGGAGATCAGATAACAGGAGGGGTTTGGAACAGGGTGGCAGTATTGGAGGAGAGGATGCTTATCTTGGCATCTAGCTCGGTGTGGCAGTGAGAAAACCAAGCTCTAGGTTTGGTTTTCTGTAGGACCGAGGCCCCTATAGGAGGCAGGCCAAAGTCATATGTTCAGGAAAACTCAGGAGTAATGATGATAGATGTGACTAATAGGAATTCAATCTGTAAGTTGGTTAAAAGATGGGAATGAAGTCGAGGTGAAATCCAAAAGGGCTTATGAATATTATGTTTTCAAACATTGTTTATGCCAGACATAAATGGTGTTGGTTGGGTGTAGATTTGTCCCATAGCTCTTTTTATTGCAAGCCATGCTTTATGAGCATAATGATTGTAAAAAAAAAAAAAAAAATCTACGTTTCTTTGGACTTAAAAAAACAAATGTGTTTTTGGTATACAGCAAATTGCCTTAAGCAGCTTGAAATGAAAGCCTTTTCAAGCAATGGCCATGTTGAGACCTCTGCTCAGCTGGTGAGGCAGTTGAACCTGCCAGTCAGAAAGGGTCTCAGGTTTAGTGTCAGTGGTTCCTGGGACTGCCCTGGGTCGTGGTGGCCTGTAGACTTCCCATACTACTCCCACCACTGCATTGCTCCAGCACTGAGTTCCCTGACAATTGCTGTGAGCACGCAGACAACTCATCTAGCTTTACTTGACTGCCTTGTGCTTAAAATGGCAGGCACCCAACTCTTGCAGTGTCTTTCGCCTCAAGGACACTTGATTCCACACAACAAGGGTCTTTCATTTCTGAGCTCTATGCTGTGCTTGATATGCCTGCATATTCTTCTGGATCACTGAGGACTGTGTCAGGGCACATTCACTGTCATGGTTTCTGGTCTTAATAAGAGTTCATTCCTTATCAACACCATTATTTTGCCCTGAGAAAACCTAAAGCTTGATTCTGAAAACCCACTACAGACCCATGAAGGCATCTTGCATCTTCTCTCCCAATTTACTTCAATCAGCAAATGAATGGATATACAATTATTGAGCACCCATTATGTGCTCTACATTTGTGCTCAGGACTTTCATTCACTTAAGTCTCAGACACCCTTGTAAGGCAAAGGTTATGTTCAGTATTATAAGGAAAGGAGTCAGAGGCTCACAGATGTTAACTTTCCCAAAGCCACTTAGCAAAAAGAAGGTGGCAAAATGTGTCAGACCCAAGACTTCTGATTCTATACCCAAGACTCTTCCCATCTTAAATAGGTAAACAAGCTGGCTTTAGATGGTTCATGGACAATGAAGGGAAAAAAAAAATGAATCACATGATGGGAAAGTTGTTTTCCTTTCAATTCTCTCTCAAACATTCCGATTAGTCAAGTAGAAAGTGTGTTTGGTGTTAAAGTGGATTTAGCATGTGTTGAATATCTGCTAATCTCCCCCCCCTTTTTTTTTAATTTGACAGAGATCATAACTGATCCCCCTTTTTAACACTCAAAAATTTTAGCAAGAATTTAACAAAATCATTTTTGATTCTATCTTCTCTTTTTGTAATATAATATTGGTTTCCTTATGATGGTGATATAAAACTATCTTTTAGGGAAGAAAATTAGAGGAAAAAAATTTTAAATGTTGAATAAATTATATTGTATGGACACAATAATGACAAAAAGTCACGGAAGTATATCCATCTGAATGAAGCTAGGACATACTCCATTCATTTAAACCACCTCCTTTGCTCCCAGGACATGTGGATCTTCATGTAATCACTGAGGCACTAAGTTCTAAATGTGTTCATTGTTGATTTGTTTTCCTGGGAAAGATACAGAAGTGATTATAATGAAAATTATCCCTGTCACTTGAACCACTAAGTCGTTCTTCTTAAGTTTAAATTTTATAACGCAAATCAACCCAAGCTAGTAATGGAGTCTTAAAACCTAGGAAAAATATGTAAGTTTATTGCAAAAGATAATATCCCATTTAAAACAGTTTAGAAATTTACAAAACCTTACATTGGTACATAGTCTTTAAGAAGGTGCTCTATAGATGAACTGGTATGAAGTTCCAAGTATAGTGAGTACCTATTTTTTTTTTAACTACAGAGAAAGCAGCTACATAAACTCCTGCAACTGAAGTTGATGTATCGGTCTTTTTCCCTTCAATTTTATAAAAGTAATTTTTGCTAAATTAATATCTCTCCATGAAACCATATAACCTCAAGTACATCATTTCTGTAGAATATCATGGTAGATATTACATAATATTTCACAAAGAAGTGATTTCACATGGAAGGTGAGTATAGAGATTTGGCATATGGATCTGCATGTTGTTTGAAACATAAAGATGATCATTTTTCAGCAGGAAGTTGTTTACTGAACCCATTTCCTTCCTAACTATTTAAAAGTTTCGATATCCAGAAGAGACCCCCCCTTCCCAATTTCAGGTCGGTGGCCTGAGTAGTGCTGTGTTGTGCTTTGGTATAGAATTATCATAGCCTCATTTGTTGTTGTTTTGTTGTTGTTGTTGTTCTCGAAATGTCAACATTTTCCAACCCCAATTTCATTTAATTCAGTTGAGGATTTATCTCAGGTCCCCAACTCAGTGTAAGTGTATAACAAGGTGAGCTTCATTATCCAAGGGTTGGATTATCCTTTTTGGGTGAGTTTCCTCAGACACCTCTTCATCATTCCAGGCTAACTCTGGCAAGTGATCCCACTCAGCTTTGGGTTGTTCTGTTTTCTGCTCATTTTGATGTTGGAATGTGCACAGAGCTTACAAAGTAGGTAGAGTAAGTATTTATATCTCCATTCAAGAGTGAACAAACAAGTCCTGAAAATGTAAGCAATTTGCCAAGGTTAGTGTAATAGACTGTTCTGTTGCCTGGGTCTCTTAATTCCAGGAACAGGATTATTTTCATTCTAGCAAGCTACCTGAGAATACAAATTAATTTGGAAATTAGTATAAGCAAAGCAAATTAAGATAGAAGCTCTACAATGAGATAAAATTATATAAGAGATCCCAAATTATCTTGTTTTATTAGATTATCCTCTGTGCTGTTCTTTTCCACTGTTGGGGCCAACTGAGAGTTGATTGTGTGGATACAGAAAGATCTATGGCTTTCAGCCAGTGGTAGCATATCTTATTGAAATGTGACTTCTTAAGTATGACAAGTGTATTTATCTTAATTCCAACTTAGTGTTATGTATTCCGGTCTCATTTTGTGGGTTTAAACATTACACTAGAAACAGAATGAGAACATCTTGAATGACATTCCAAGACTTAAATAGTGCAAGCCGAGAACTCTGCCAAATTTCCCTCTCGCTCCCACTGAAATAGCTTTGTGCACTGCAGTACGGTGACAGGGAAAGGTGAAGTTGTTGGAGTGGTTTGCTCAGTTAGTCTCAGTTTGCAGTGTGGTACATACGTCCTACGTGCACTCTGCAGACTCTAACTCAGATACCTGATCTTCAGCAAAGGGGATTATGAAATGCCTTCTTCATTGAATGCTTGCTGAGCTTTAGGATCCCTTTTCTAAGCAGCATCAATGCAACCACAGCCTGGTAGAGAATTTAATGCAAAGGATGCAAGCCTTTCCAACCTACCCCTTATCCCCAAGAGTATGTAGCAATTAATTCTATTACTTTAGTACTTTGTTCAGCCATGCAAGTTTGACTGGACCCACATGTATGAGGGTCTTGCCAAAAGAATGAGTCAGACTTCAAAAGAATTCAGACTTTGGGAAGGAAAGGTCTTTAATACTAAAATGGAAAAAAAAAATATATTCTCATCCCCAGTCCTGCTGCTTCATCAATCAGGTGACCATCACCTGGTCATCACAAAGGGAGATTATGAAGATTAATGTACTTTGGAATCTATCACAAGGCTGTTGCTGGGATGAATGAACAAGAACCAGTGTTGTGTTTTATCTTAGTCTTATGTTACTGGTAAGATGAATGGACAGACAAGCTGCTGGATCTCGTGGTCTTAAATATTGCAGGGACATTAACTGTGGAATCTTAAAGTCCAAGCCCAAACCAGGTCCAAATCATTTGCTGACAGATCTCAGGCCCGAGGCTGAGAACATGATGGTTTATGGCAGGATCTGCAGCAGTTACAACTGCAGGATAGCCATACCACCAAGCTCCTTAAACCCTGCTGTAACCTCACTTGCCTGTAAAGCTTACATAGCACGAGATGACACATCCTTGATTTGCAATCTAAGGGCTAATTAAAAATGAAAATGACCCAACCTACCAAGTGACCTTGCATTTTTATGCCCTACCTACTTCTGTTGTGCTTCTATATGCCAAAATCTTAGAAAACTGTAGTTTATGTATCTCTTTTTTTTTTTTTCTAGAGTATCTGCTTATAATGCTCCTCTATCTTCCTGTCATGCACAACATTTTTTTTTTTTCTTTTGGGATGATGTACCCAGGATGGGAAGGAAGTGTTTAGCATCATGGAGGTGTTGGAAATGTCATAGGGTTTTGCTCATGGTGGGAAACTAAACTCTCAAAGGATGTGGCCTGGTCATGTGTGACAGCAATCTAGGTGAGTGGTCACTCTAGGGTCCATGAAGTCCTCAGCAAGCAGCATCACTCAATTCAGGTGACATTAGTGGTCAGGTGTCCAGCAGCAGTTAAACCAGCCCGAGTCTTTCCCATTTCACAAGTTAAATGGCTAACCACCTGGGGCCTGTGCTAAGAAGTAGAGAAGGCCTGAGGGCAGTGGTTTCCCCACCTTGGGGAGGTATCTGGGGGAGGCAAAGGGAACGGACCCAACAAGCTCAGATCCACCAGAAGCATTTCTTCTTCACTTTCTTGGTCTTCCTCCTTAAGTCCTGTTTCTCAGGGGCTGGGGGTTCTGCTGGGGACTTTGGTGGAGGAGAAGCCTCCTCCACTGGTTCCGCTTCCTCCAGACTCTGCAGAACTTCATGGAACCTGCCTTCCTGCTGCCGAAAATCATATTCTACACTGAAAAACAGAGAGAAGGAAGGAAAGTAAATTCAAATCAGCACATACTGATTTAGCATTACTGAGTGTCTGACTGACATGGAAGAGCATAGGCTTTGAGATCAAGTCCCACATGTTTAGGTACCTACTGACCTTGGGAAGATTGTGCCACTCCTCTCAACTCCAGTTCCTCATGGATTGAACTGGCACCTGAAATGCCTTCCTTTTTTGGATATTCTTAAGTCTAAAAGAGACGTGTAAGATAGCAGCCTGATAGTAGGTGCTCAGTAAAAATTACTCCAATCTCTCTTGCACATTTATTTAATGTTATTGTTAGTTATTTTTATACATTTTACACAAAAACTCCCTCATTATAGAAGATTTAAGTAATACAGACGAATATACAACAAAACTGATGACTCAATTTCCTCATCAATAAAATGGACACAACAGCAGCAACAATCTCAAAGGCTTTCTTTGGAATTAATATGTATATTAACTGAGAGAATACAAAGGAAATACTTACAGCAGTACCTGGCTCTATGGAAGTAAACCTTCCATATTTAGTAGCTCCTATTAGTGTTGTTATTAATATCATTATTGCCATTATTACAACAAATACATTATGCCTTACTCTTTGCCTTGCTTCTCAATTTAATAATGTGGCTTGGAGAGCTTTCCATATACACTTACCTCAATGTAGACATATTTAAATACTTTCCTTTAACACGTATTTCTTAATCCCCACTTTTTCTTTGCTATTTTATTGTGTGTTTTGGAGTCATTAATATACAGACTCCATTGTATTATCTGTACACAGATCTGTGAGGTAAACATGATGCATTTGGGGACCGGCAGTTCCCAGGAGTTGAGAAAGTCAGAGGTCAGGAAGTACAGAAGCTCTGGTTTGTTCTCCAGTGGGGGGTCACACTGGGTACTCAACACTTCCCATGCCCTTGAGGGCTTGAGAATCAGGCTTGCAGGTGTGTCAGAGTTTGTCAGCTTGATTCATAACTCTGGCTCAGTTTTCCCATTAACTGGAAAGTAGGGCCAGAAGAATGAATCTTGCAGATGCCCCTGAAGGCTGTGCATGGGCTCTCTCTGCCCTTAATTGTCCACTTTCCACCCTAGGAGATTTACTTATGGAGGACTTTCCACTGCTGAGATGATTATAAGAAGACTCTTAAGCTCTAAGCTGTGTTTTCACCTGGTTTCATTCTAGAGGCCTCAGATGGCCCAAGATGAGTAACCACTGTAGGAGAGTGGAAAGTGGAGGAAATGCAGAGTCACAGAAACAGTGTATTCTCTTTGCTTGGCAAGGAGAGAATTGAAATGTTTCATATAGAAGACAGAAGACCCCCACATTGGTCTGTGATGTGGCCATGACAGTCCGAAGTCTTTCTACCCAGCCAGGGATAAAAAGGAGCTATCGTTAAAGGGACCCTTGTCCTTATCTACTATCTCCATGTCACATCACAAGAGACCCAGTTTCAGAGTAGGTGCTGCTGGAAAGGCAAATCATGATTGTCACACATGACTACTGAAGCCCCCAAATGGGCATTCCAAGCTAGAAGAAGCTGAAAAGTCAGAAGAGCCAGACGGCATGTTTTGTAGCCAGACTGATGGGGTGTCAGAGCTTAGGGAGTATTAGGAAGATGTTTCTGATTATTTTGTTTCTGCATTTTTCATAAGCTTCACCCAGATTTTCTTCTCATTGGTGTTATCCTCTCTTTTTCCATCCCTCCCTGGTCTCTTCTATAGAGACATACTCCTGGCTGGATGACCTATAATGGCTGTGTTTTTCAAATTTTTTAAAGATTTTATTTATTTGACAGAGAGAGATCACAAGTAAGCAGAGAGGCAGGCAGAGAGAGAGAGGAGGAAGCAGACTCCCTGTGGAGCAGAGAACCCATCACGGGGCTCGATCCCAGGACCCTGGGATCATGACCTGAGCTGAAAGCACAGGCTTTAACCCACTGAGCGACCCAGGCGCCCCTGTTTTTCAAAGCAAAGCTCCACAACTGATTAGCTGTGAGGTCTTGAGGAAGTCATTTCTCATTTTATTTTAAGCCACAGGGTCCTCATCTGCAAAATGAGCATGGTACCTACTCATAGGATTTCAGTGAAGTTTAAAGGTTATGCATGTATAACACCCAGCTCAGAGCAAGGCACCAAGTATTCAGCCAGTCATTCAACAAATATTTATTGAGTATCACCCATGTGCCAGACCCTATGCTAGGCACTAGGGAAGGAATGGTAGACAGACAGACATTATTTCTGGCTTCCTGGTACTGGTAGTCCAGTGGCTCTATGTCTTCAGTAACATCAGTCAACATCAAAAGCAATTAGGGACATTTTAGCCAAAGCTGAGGATTTGCCAGGTCATTGAACAGAGACATCCACAAACTCAAACATTGAGGCTTTCACTTCCAGGATGCATTATCCAGCACTGCACTCATATTTGTCTCTGGTCATGGGGTGAATTTTTGTCTGCATTACCTGTACCTCACTCTCCCCAGTAGAAACTTAAAGAGATGGATTCAGAGGCTGGGAAAGAATTGATCTCCAACAACCTCTGCATTGCTTCAAGGGAAACATTTAAAGCAGCAAGTTGCAAATTCTGATTCTTAACCCCACTAGCACTAGTTCGCAGATAGGGCACATACACATTCACAGTTCTGCTACCTCCTGAAATATTCCTAGCCTTCTGTCTTCCATCCTAGAACACCATATAGAGCCCAAAAGAGTGGGTACCTCCTGCTCATTCTCAGAATTTCCTGTGCTTTCTGATAAGGGATAGTTTATCCATCTATCCAATCAGCCAGACAGCCAACCAACCATCCATTTATCCAACCAATTATCCATCCATCCATCCATCCATCCATCCATCCATCCATCCACCCATCCATCCATCCATCCATCCATCCATCCATCCATCCATCCATCTATCCATCCATTCATCCTACCCATCATCTAGCCATCCAGCCAGCTGGCCAGCTGGCTAACCAGCCATTTCCTGCTCTGAGCCTGACACTGTGCTCAGCTACAGGGCTAACAGTAAGATAGACAGATATGGATACTGCTCTCATAGATCTTAGATCCCAGCACATTAGATAGATGATTAAACTAACAATTGTTTTGCAAATTGCTTTGCATTTATCTCAACTACCCTTACCTACCACCTGTTCATACACACACCTCTACCAAATTATATGAGCATACACATAAACTGACCTCCTTCTTTTCCTTATATGTAACTTTTCTCTGACTTCACCATTCAAACAAACAAATGACAACAACACACCTCTTGAGTTTGTTAAGATTCACAATAGTGTCCCAATACCAGTTAGGAAAAAATAATGCTCTGGGGAATTCCAGAATATGTATAGAACTGGCATGCCTGGAGGGAGAAGAGCCAGGAGACAGAATGTTAACTCTGTCTCATCATCACAACTTAAAGTTCAGCCCAATATAGAGAATAGAACAGGGACTCTTAAGTGGAACACTCCTGGGTTTGAACTGAGAATACCGCTTACTGGCTGGGTGACCCTGGGCAAGTTGCTACTCTTTCTGAGACTCAGTTGAAAGCGGGGATTATAAAGCCACCTCACTGGGTATTTGTGCAGATGGGACACAATAACAGGTGAAATGTCCTCACGTAGGATATGGTGTCTGCCCACTCCACTCTTCACTAAGTCTCTTGTCTTCCTATCTTAGGGACTGAATGCCTTACCTCTTCACTCATACCTTTAGCTCTTCAGTAATTGTACACCTTGTCAGGAACTCTTCACTCTTCCCCTCCATATACGTTCAGGGAAGAATACACTCTTTATGTTTCTATGGAAACACCACAGGTTTCCATTATAATCATTAGAGCTCAGGGAGCTCCCCACCCCCCTCCTATAACTGTCCCCCCTGGTCTTGACAATTTAAAGGGGATTGAAAGTGACTTTCTTTTCAAGGCCAGACAAATAGCAGAGTATAGGGAAACATGTATACTTCAGAAAGAAATTGATTAATGTTTTTAAGGCCAAAGCAATTTATTAAAATAAAGGAAAATTGTCACTTTTCTTCTTATTCCTCCATTTGACAAACTACTGTTTAGTTTGGTGGGGGAGGACAGGAAGTATGTTTTGTTTTGGTAGCAGCTGCCTTATAAATAGGCAGGGGTAGTGCCCTCTCTCATCTGTTTTCATTTTGAGGCTGGGTAGAGAAGAGGAGATACCACTCAACTTCCTACTTAGCCAACCTACGCCAATTCAGCACCCTCTTGAAAAGGAATACACTGCCTACTTGGTAAGAATTCAAATAAACTCTTAACAAAGGTTTCTTTATAGATTCTGGAGAATGATTGTTTGCCTTGGGCTTGGTATCAAGGTACAACACCAGTAACTCTCCCAACCTCATCTCCACTTGTTTTCTTCCTCTTAATCTTCCTACCCTGACACCCTTACCATTTTCTGACACTTATATTCCATAGGGAGGACAGAAGTGTTGAGTGCTTGGCTTGTGCAGAGCTCTGGCTCACAGCTTTGGGCAAATGGTGGCCAAGAATTTATTATAGTGTGTGATTCAAGCCTGGGACCATTGAGATAGTCCAGAGCACTCAAGGTTTGTGAGGTTAGTCCTCTGAAGATGGATGGAGTACCTAACCCCTGCTTCAGGGGTGTCCAGTTCACTGGGGAGCCTTAGAGGCCTTTCTGCCTACAATGCCTGTGCATGGCACCACACCGCACTTAGAAAGTGAGCTGTGTGGAAAGGAGGAATGGAAGAGAGCTCTCAGGTTTTCTTCTTGAGGGCACCTCACTAATCTAGCTGATAGATCAATGCTTCAGCCATCATGCTAGTTGAAAAGTAGAAGGATGTTTTTCTAGGTAATTGGAAGGAGAGAGAAGCCTAAGTTGTGGCTTGTCTGGAAGAAGAAATAGTAAGAAGAAAAAGTAGGTAAATACATGAGAATATAACCAAACAACAGAGCCAGGTTGTGGATGCAGTATCTTGGCTGGGAAAACTGAAGTGCA